TGCTTATTATACAATGAATACAAAGTACATTATTTGCATTGCCACATTTAAATAACAAAATGCCTAAAACATCGAGGACAAACATTTGAAACAATATGTTATTTAAAAATAATTATAGTTTAAAATACAATTTTTTACAAAATTATAGATATTATTTCCCATTTTTTTCTTTCTATTTCTCAACATCACGCACGTAATTTGCAACTAAATAACAATATTATGATAAGACACAACAACTGTTAAAAATTGGGGCTTTTTCAATAATTATACGGTTCATTAACCAATATCTTTTCTACAGATCACATTAATCCAAAGGTTGCAATCTCTGACACAAAAGTAGATGAGAATTACTTCATAAAAACTAAAGCTTAATAAAAGCTTTATAATTCTAAAATGTAGTTACATTTCTTAAAATGTACTTACATTCCTTAAAATGTAGTTACATTCCTTAAAATGTAGTTACATTTCTTAAAATGTAGTTACATTTCTAACGTCAACCCAGTCTTAAAAATTGGTGCAACTTCTCCTAGCTGTCTGGATTTCTGTTGCAAGTTACAAAACACACGATTTTAACAAAAATCACGAAAACAAGTTTTTCTTGACTCATAAGAAATCCACAATTATTTTCAAAACATTGATTTACTTAAAAGGACTGTAAACGTTCAACTCATCCTTTGATCCTTTGATCCTTTGATTCTTTGATCCTTTGATCCTTTGATCTTTTGATCCTTTGATAAAGTCTGATTCACAACAGGACCCTAAAGTGCTTTGTCTAATCAAGTATAATTAATTAATACTTTTTAAAGTAGAAAAACTGTGGTATCTCCCACACCTTGATCAAATTTATGTTTCTGAATGGTACCGTTGTGAATCGGACCTATTCAAATTGAGGGTAACCTAAAATTACAGCTACAGTCCTTTCAGATTTTTATTTTGGAATGAATGTGAACAACATTCCACTGTCACTTAGCTCAAACTCAAATTTTCTAATCCTTATATCTTTGTAACCATTGATATGTAAAACTATTAATTCTGAATGATAGGATGATTAAAGTTTAAATTAATAAACACATTTCTGTTCTCTAAACAAACTTACGAATTAGAAAATGCATGGTTTGTTGCATGTGTGACAGGTCATCAACTAAAATATATAAAAAGAAGTTTACCTCTTAAAACCTCTATAAACCTCTTTAATCCTCTTTAAACCTCTTTAAACCTCTTTAATCCTCTTTAAACCTCTTTAAACCTCTTAAAACCTCTTTAAACCTCTTTAAACCTCTTAAAACCTCTCTAAACCTCTTTAATCCTCTTTAAACCTCTTTAAACCTCTTTAAACCTCTTAAAACCTCTCTAAACCTCTTTAATCCTCTTAAAACCTCTATAAACCTCTTTAAACCTCTTTAAACCTCTTTAAACCTCTTTAATCCTCTTTAAACCTCTTTAAACCTCTTAAAACCTCTCTAAACATCTTTAATCCTCTTTAAACCTCTTTAAACCTCTTTAATCCTCTTTAAACCTCTTTAAACCTCTTAAAACCTCTCTAAACCTCTTTAATCCTCTTTAAACCTCTTTAAACCTCTTTAATCCTCTTTAAACCTATTTAAACACAAATGTCACAAAAAGTGTTGAAGGATACAGAACTAATCAAATTCACCTTTAGTTTTATTTAATGATGAATCAAACTTTTAATGAGGGTCTAAAATCCAGGAATCGGATTCACTCAAAAAGATAATTCTGACTAAAAATATTTACATTTTAAACAAATATCTCAATTATTTAGTGATATTTCAAAAAATCCAATTTATTTGATTATGGAAAAAATGTATCTCAATAAAAGATTAATCAATTACTTAGCATAGTTCTAAGAATCATTTCACTCGCAAAGCTTAAAGTTTACAGTCTTTACAATTAAAGTTAGGTTTGTAAATAATTAAATTTATAATTAAATTATTGATCTTTAAATAGTTCCAGGAATACACCTGCACAGCCATCCTTATTTGATTAAATTAAAGACATTTAAAAATGAAAATTATCAAAACCATTTTTTTAAAGTACAATTATTAATTTGACTAGATTTTCCTGTCTTGTTTTTTATATGGACTTTTCAAATTCAGATCACGTCGACTTAAGGGCAGTTAAAAATGCACCACGCGACTGAAGGGTTTCCCGACGCTCTTGCACCCTCGTACTTAAAGCGATCCGACTGGAACAGCAGAGAGCCTGCCTATACGCGCATTTTTTACAAGGGTTTTGCGTAAAGTAAAGTGCACGTTAATCATAACTTATATAATTAAAGAGATCACCTAGATTCATCCTGCTTATAAACAGTCTCATTAATTCTTAAGACAGGGTCGACTTTGAAATGTCGCAACACCTTGGGTTTACATTTTACCGCTCTAACTCGCTTAGGCTTTTTTTTTCTAGCCCTTTACATGTATATTGTATCACTACTAATCACAACTTTGATTTAAAAAGTAATTGGAAAAATTCTCATCGATTTTTGCTTGAGAGTGGGAGACCTTTAAATCACTGTGAGCTATTGAGAAAAAAAAAACATATTTAAATTTATATTTTGTAACCAATATAAATTTCGCTTTCTCATACTTGTATAAAGAAAGCAAGTTAGAGGAGTTACGAGGTTCCAAAGTTGTACCAGTGATGTCGCATAAATTTTACCTTTTGCAGTGAGGTGCATTTCAAGAATTCTTTGAATCAACAATAAAAATGCAAGATATAAAAACTGAAAGTGTATTTAAAATTCATTTAAGTTTCATTACGTTACCAGATTTATTCTGTAATTCTGGATAAAAGAGATTTGGACCGTTTTCTGTAAAAGTCCATGAAAAAGTTAATGGGTACACCCCGTTTAAACTACACTGACACCCTCTCTAATAGAACATATACATATTATTTAATCAACTTCCGTTAAAACTGCGTGACCAAACCAAGATCAATATCATATAAATATATAAACATATCTATATATATATATATATTATATAAAGGTCGGGTTCTTAGAACGGAAAGGGACCAAACAGACATAATTCTGCGAACATAAAGAACGAAACTTGTCAAAAATTGAGAATTCAGCGTGGACGGGTTTATGAGAAATCAGTGCTAACTTTTTAGAAATCTAATTCAGATTTATAACCCAGGAATTCTTCCTAGTAATACTTTCTGCAGCCATTTTCCGAATAATAGGAGTTTTAGCTAAAACCTTTAAATATGCATTTCTAACAGACATTTAAACGTCTTTTATAAATTCTATTATCATTATGTATAGTCCCTTTTTATATTAATAAAAAAAATTATTTTATATTTTTAAAATAAAATTTTTAAATTTTTTATTATTTGTCAGATTTTCTTTAAAAAGATATTAAATATCCTTTAAGTTTTTTAAAAAAGATATTAAATATCCTTTAAGTTTTTAAAAAAAGATATTAAATATCCTTTAAGTTTTTAAAAAAAGATATTAAATGTCCTTTAAGTTTTAAAAAAAAGATATTATATATCCTTTAAGTTTTTAAAAAAAGATATTATATATCCTTTAAGTTTAAAAAACAAAGATATTTTATATCCTTTAAGTTTTTCAAAAAAAAAGATATTAAATTTCCTTTAAGTTTAAAAGAAAAAATATATTATATATCCTTTAAGTTTAAAAACAACTAAAAGAGAAACAGAAGACGTCATGAGTTCTACAAAGCTTTTTAATTTTCTGTAGAATACACGCTAAATCTATGTTTTTTTTAACCTTTTTACTCTCTTACTCCTCTAAATATTACATATCCCCTATCCCTTTCCCCTCGCCTAATTCCCCCTATACTTTTCCCCCATTCATGATCATGATTGTGGACCATCTTTTATAAAGTTTTTCAATGAAGTAAAAAATACCAACATTTTTCTTTGGCGCTTCGCGCATCATTTCGAATAAAATTTCTACCTATTTTTTATGAGTATTACAATACATATACCATTTAACGTTGCACAGAACCTGACAACCAAAGAAGAATTACAAGATATATAATAAGGATTATATCAGACTATTAGGACTTATGCAGACTACAGGAGGAAAACAGGGATAAGCCCAATTACCGGCTTATGCCTTATGGACAGACGAGATATAGTAAAGTAATGCCTGGAAATACTTAGGACTGCACAGACCTACGATAAAAGGACTTTATAGTGGTCAAATATGACTGGCATGGATTAATTACAAAAACTGGTGTAGACTGTAATAGGGGACTTTATAGTGAATATGACTAAACCAGGGACTAACAGACACTAAATACATGAAAAGACACAAGAAGAACAACAATTTGTTGGTGCTTCGCGCATATGTTTAATCATTTTACTCATATCGTTCATTTTTAAACAAAAAAAACAAGGACGCCATGCAGATATTGTAAGAATTTGGCATATTATTGAGCCCATAGCCAACCCTTTAACAATTAAAAGATTCCGCTTTTTACTTTAAATCCTAAAAACAGCGGGATTTTATAATTTTTTTTTACCTCACAATAACTTAATTGAAATTAAATCTCACGTGATTTTGAACACCTTTAGATCGAACGAAACAAGAACAATTGATTGATTGATTGATTTATTGATTATAATGTTTTCAAACTTTTCTTTCAATTTACGGATCATCACCAATCCCTGACAAATTCTGAGAATTTGAATAAAATTTAAAATGTATGAGAGAATATTAGCCTTCCATTTAGTCATGATCGGGTTCAAGAGTACGTAAGCCCCTTTTTTTTCTAATGTTAATTTTTGTATAACTTTGTTTTGCCAAATTTTGCCAATTTTTGCCAATTTTTGCCAATTTAATGCCAAGCCATTTTTTACTGAAAAATTAATCAAATAGGGTTTGCGGGATGGAAAATGTGGAAGAAAAATACAAGAGTTTACATTTATGTTTATATATGGTTCTGAATCAGCTTATACCAGATAGTTCAACAGTGTTCAATGTTGATTGATTGATTGATTGATGTATTTAGGCGAGATATGCTCACAATCCTCTCAGCTTATACCAGATAGTTCAACAGTGTTCAATGTTGATTGATTGATTGATTGATGTATTTAGGCGAGATATGCTCACAATCCTCTCAGCTTATACCAGATAGTTCAACAGTGTTCAATGTTGATTGATTGATTGATTGATGTATTTAGGCGAGATATGCTCACAATCCTCTCAGCTTATACCAGATAGTTCAACAGTGTTCAATGTTGATTGATTGATTGATTGATGTATTTAGGCGAGATATGCTCACAATCCTCTCAGCTTATACCAGATAGTTCAACAGTGTTCAATGTTGATTGATTGATTGATTGATGTATTTAGGCGAGATATGCTCACAATCCTCTCAGCTTATACCAGATAGTTCAACAGTGTCTAACTTCAGAAATGCACCTGGTTCAACGAGCAGAAGGGGTCAGTTAATTTTTTCTAACATTTTGATATTGACATCTTTGAATAAGTAAATCTAACATTTTGTTAATGATATCTCTCAATAAGTTCATAACGTAACAGTGTTTCAAAATATATCTCAATAAGTTTATCTTAAATATTATTAATTTTGATCGTTATACCTTTCAATACATTTTTAAATTAAAACTTATCTGACTTTTTTTTTCCTTTTTTCAAATCATTTTTACTTTATCTTTCAAATCATGACTTTTATAATGTAATGACCAAGTACTCCTACAGAATAAATCTTATTAGCATTTTAACCTTCAATTCTTATCTTTATGTTTATTTTTTATTCTTAGATTGGTGTAGATCCTAGTCTAGCCATGGCTAATGATACAGTATACCAGGTAACCCCTTTTTATTGCATGTTTAGATAAAATTAAGTATCTTGGTAAAATTTCTATTTTTGAGCTTTATTAAATATTGTAAATTGAGACTGTGTTCGTATGAAAAACGCAATTTCGATGAACCTTCTGTTCTATTCTATTCTATTCGAATTTGATTTTTTTTTGATATTTAGAAAGTTGGAAAAGAGGGAAGTAAAAAATCAAAGAAAAATGTTTTTAATTCAAATCTATAGAATTTGCTTTAATTCATTTTTTCTAATTGGGAATTAGGATATTTTGCCCTTGCCACAAACTTTGATCAAATAATCTAAGTTTAAAATATTGGAAGTTTACACCACCAGATTACAAAGATATAGGGATTAGACAACGACGCAATTCCTTTCTAATTAAAATTTATTCCAGATTCAGCAGCAATTAAACCTACTGAAGAAGTCTACACAGGAATGGGATACATAAATAATATGAAAACAAATCAGTCATTTTTTTTATTTATTGTATTTATGCTTACATAGCCATGGGAGTTTTTATGCTAGATTATTCTCATAACCCCTGTAGTTAAAACTTGATATCCACTGTGGACACTTTTAGTTTGAGAATCTATAAAAAAGCTTTTTATAATATCTTAATTTTAGTCATTCCTCCCCTTATGAAAGCTCCCTTCAACCCCTGACTGGGTACAATTACTATATGCAAAATATCGAATAAAGATTTTTAGCAGATTAACATATGATCGAGATCAAGCATTGATCTCGATATCCACAACACAAGAGTTCCCAGCTCTGATCTGTATTCCTATCCAACTGACATCTGGATTACCCAAAAAGACTGTATATTTTCTCATTGGTAAAGAAATCTATAACATTTGATACGGTTTTAGAAAGCCCTTGGTCTCTTTAGGCTTCACTTCAATAATCTGAAAATTGTCAAATATGCAAATATACGCATATTTATTGCAAAATCTAGTTGTTCAGCAAAAAACTGCGAATAATGCCACAAATTATTAATTTTCATTTCACTCAGAAAATTTAAATGCGCCAAAATATTTTCAAACCTTTCAAAACCTAAAACTTTCAAAACTTTCAAAACCTAAAACTTTCAAAACTTTCAAAACCTAAATCTTTCAAAACTTTAAAAACCTAAAACTTTCAAAACTTTCAAAAAAAGACTGAAAATTTCTTTTAAGGTCTCTGTGATAAAATCTTTATAAAATGTCTTTGCAAAAGTTGTGCAATCTACATTCTTTTTAAAACGAGCTTTAGAATGTTGAAATCCAAAGACTGGAAGTATGCCTATATATAGATTTTGTCTGGTATCGGTAAAATAAGGCATTTAGGCAGTATGCCTGATGACTGAGGTAGTAGGTATAAAAGCCCAGTTTTTAGCTTAAAGTGAGGTATATGTATATTGTATAAATAGTTAGAAAAAACAGAAAATTTGAACTTATTATCTCAAATACTTTTTGAGTTTTCGTAAAGGGGTCTAAAGGGTTGACATCCCCCCCCCCCTCCAGTCGGTAAATGTGTCCCATTGGAGTAGGAGTGTGGTGTAGAGATTGAGAAAACTAGACAAATGCAGGAGCATCATTCCATCAACTTCTACAAACATCATCAGATATCAGGTAGATATTCATTAGATCTCAGGTAGATATTCATTAGATCTCAGGTAGATATTCATCAGATCTCAGGTAGATATTCATTAGATCTCAGGTAGATTCATTAGGTCTCAGGTAGATATTCATCAGATCTCAGGTAGATATTCATTAGATCTCTGGTAGATATTCATCAGATCTCATATAGATATTCATCAGATCTCAGATAGAAATACAACTTTTTCCGACGAATTGAGAAGAGACATTTAGCCCCGGCCATTGTTTAAAAAGGTTCGGTAGAATTCATCAAAGAATTCGTGGAAAATTGTTGCATGCCAACCCTCAGCCAGCCATTAGTATTTATAGGTCTACGTCACAATATTCATAACGGAGTTTAATAAGTTTATATTATATTTGGATAAAGGGGAGGAGGGGAAACGTTTTTTTTTATTAATTTACCAGCTTTTTGGAAAATACAGTAAAACTAAAACATAATATTTTTTAATATTAAATATTGCTGATTTTGAATTGTTGTAAATATTTATGTTTTCTAAAAATTGAAAAATGCGCAATTTTCCGATTAAGTCTGCAGGTGGTTACACGAAACAATTTTGATTTCGTTAAAGAATAGATTTTTTTCTATATTTTTGAGGATAAAATGATTATAATCAAACTTCATTCTCGGTGTTTAAGAAGTTTACGTTTTTATTTCGCAATGCTGTTACACCATACTTTCTGTGCAAAAGACTCTAGCTTGACAAAACAAACCAAAAACAAAAAGATAAATCAATAAAGATTATCTAGATAATATTAGACCATTAGAGAAGATGGACCGGGGGGAAGTTATTTTAATAGTTTTTCCAGAAAACGGTTTTCAAATTTTGAATATTTTGAATCCGTTTTCTTGGGATGGATTCTCCTGGTTCCTTGAACTGTTCCTTTGAAGTAAATAATCCGGGGATTATAATTTCTTTTGCCAGATTTCAGATAGATAGAACAGATTTCTACATGCTGGTTTAGATAGATAGAAAAAAATTCTACATGCTGGTTTAGATAGATAGAAAATATTTCTACATGCTGGTTTAGATAGATAGAACAGATTTCTACATGCTGGTTTAGAAAGATATAACAGATTTCTACATGCTGGTTTAGATATATAGAACAGATTTCTACATGCTGGTTTGGATAGATAGAACAGATTTCTACATGCTGGTTTAGATAGATAGAACAAATTTCTACATGCTGGTTTAGA